TGTCAGACAGCACTGGAACGAAACACAATGTTCACCAACTCGAACAACATCGATGTGTATGTGTTTGGTTGCACATACAAAGTTGCCTTTAACAAATGACACACTGACACTTCCTAGTTACTACCTATTACCAGCTGAGGACACTTGTGACTGCTTTTCCACTCGTATAGGCCATTCTCACACTTAGATCAGCATGAGATTTTTCAGTTGGATTCTTTCCATCCTTCTATACCCCAGTTAATAATCTACCATGCAACAAATATGGCCCCATCCAACATCAAGTTTATCAGTTTGGATAGGAAAATCGCTGAGGAAGATGCCATTAAAACACTGGAGCAAAGAAGGAGCTGTCTCACCGAGGCTAGCTACACCATGTTGGTCTTTGTTTTAGTGTTCAAGTCTCTTTAATAAGCAGGCGCCCTACCAGCCACAATATGTTGCACTATTTGTAAGAAGGACACTATTTCTGGTTACCATGGCTTCAGACAGTAAATGCAGTGAGTACAAGCTTGTTCCTTCGCTGATGATTTAGTGGTCTTTTAGGATGACTCAGTCGCATTATAGACTAACCACCCCCTTAACCACTAAGAACCAAGACCTGATGAACAGGCCTTTCATATATGCACCCCAATGTTGAATCTTGCTCCATGTACAACAAGGGAGACAGCAGACCCTGTAACCAGTGTGTTAACTTTGGCATGACCTGAAGCGAGCATTGAGGAAACCACAAGTTGCATCACACTTTCTTAATGCATTTTATGATGGTCAACTTTGCATAGGCAGATGCCACGCAATGGGTGTTACAGACAAGATGCGTGATGTACGACTTCTAACTAATTTACATGCTTTTTGTGATGATGCTGTGTGGACCATGTGCTAGTATCAGGAAATGGAGGCCATGCAAGACATTTATTTCTTATTATCTCCTAAACACTTATGCTAACAACATTGGTTATCCAGGCTGGGTCCAATCATTGTGGCTCAGAGGGTGACAAACTCTCTCTCTCTCTCACACACACACACATACACACCTTTTTTCTGGCGTTCCTTAGCGTAGCTTAGTTTTCTGTATTGTAAATGTCAGAGGTCCATTTACTTATTTCATTTGCTTACATTTGCTTTACAGCCCTTCTAATTTAAATTATCCGTAATATTTACAGTTATATCCAGTGTGTTATGTTGTATGTCTAGCACCCTCTATCGACAGGGACTGGCTTCAGTTGACTTTATTTTATATTTTATTTTTTTTTACATTTTTGTTTATCAAGTTTGCCTGTTACTAAACAGACTTCTATGTATTGTTTTTCGAATTGTGCTGCGCTGGTGAATAACATTACAAGTTATTTGAAAATATGTTGGTTCCACATTGTCTTCATAAATGGTAAGTATCTCCGACAGTGATGTCTCCTTTTAAGAAATGCATCGGTTGCTAGCAATTTATCCCCTGTGGTGATCTAGCTTTACTTTAAATGACATTATTAATGTTGCAATTGCTGTCATCTCCTGTGTGTCATCATGTGGTTTGTGTGCCTAATTGAAAGTGGATCATTGAGTTAATATCATTAGAACCATTAGGCTGCTGCTAGTCGGCAAGGAGAATTGAAAGAAATGCTAATTTCATGAAAGGGGCCTGCTTTATGTCTGTCCGAGGGCCAATTAGTTCACAAGTGTCTGTGGACTCTGATGTCACCTATTTTCTGAGAGTACGAGTTGCCATATACCTGCCCTGATTGTTGATTTTTCATCAACCATGTGTGGTACCTGATTATCGAGCTATTGTTGCGCCGCCATCATCTAGTGCAATCAATCAACTCAAGTTCGTTCAATCTTGGCTCACACATTGGTTTCTATCACTGGTGCTTCTGAGAAGCTTGCATCTCTCAAACCACAGCAAACGCGGCATTTCCCGGTGATTGATTTTACTTGCCTTAGGCTTGGCTGTAAGAGATGTAGAGACTTACAAGCATAATCTTTAGGTGACAAACAACTCACCCCAATTTATATACCCGGTAAGAAGTTAAACCTACCCAGAAATGGGCTTTAGCATTGTGTTTGGTCATAACATTATAGCACTGTCAGGTGTAAACAAGGACCTAATGGACAGGCAATCACAAATGCCATGCAAAGGTTATAAGTACCACATTCCTGCTAACTGTTCCAAATTATATAGATGGGTCCTGGGCTGGAATTCTTAAAAAATTCATAACAGAATTCAAAAAACCCAGAGGCTTCATACACTGTGAGAATGTATTACTTGAGGCTCTGGGTAACGCATTGGCATTCTCACACCATTGATCATCGACCACACCCTGATGTACATGCTGTTTTAATCTTTTATTGTTGTGTTCGACATATCAGACTTTTGCTTATTTAGATGGTTGATAGTATGTTCACATTTTTGGCTATTTTTATACTGGCATTAATGTGTATGTGTGCCCGACATAATTGTTTGAACATGCTTGAACCGATTTTGTAGTATTCTGTTTCACTGACCAACTGGTGTCATTTTTTGTCAAATAAACCCACAAAATTCATCATTCAACTGTTTCCAAGGCATATCTGGTCATTTTAGTGGCCATTTTGTTTTTTTGCTACCTAGTTTCCATATAACCGACGAAGTTTTGCACAAAAAAATGACGCATTGGTATCCATAATCACGTCAATGGTTTTGTTTCATCATCCTTTGAACAACTGACGTCCATTTCGTTCAAAAAGATCAAATCACAAGATGCATAAAAACGCTGTTCAGATATACATTGGCCAATTTTATTAAATGTTGGTATTTCACTTATCGTGGATAGCCATTTTGGTTTTATTTTCAGGTGTTCTCAACAATGCCTGCTTTCATTCAAAAGAAGAAAACGCAAAATACATTAACAACGTGCATTTCTTTCAATTTGTTTATAATAATATTGTGAAACAATGAAGTAAACATTGTCTTATTAATTGGTTTAAATTACATTATTGGTAAATATGGCCTTATAATCCCATCGGGAATCCAATGCTGCCCGAATTCCACGATAACACATCATGTCAAACAACACAAAATAAAATATTGCGATAATATTATTTAATGATATTAAGATCGAATTCTAATGTTGCACTACTGAGCATGTTACTGCACATATATGCAATAT